TCAGGTGTGGCGGCGGTAGTGAGGTTGGCCCAGGATCGGACTTTGTTTTGTTCTGCTGTGCATGAGTCGGTTCTGACTCGATGGCACCTGACAAAAACAACTGGCCAAGTGGTAGCATCTATGGACTCAAGCGTGGCAACAGTAGTGAGGTTGGCCCAGGATTGGGCAGTGTTTCATTCATAAGGTCGCTATGAGTCGGTACCAACTCCATGGCACTTAACAACAACAACAATCTTAGAGTTGGAAAAGACATTAGACGTCATCAAGCCTGACATCCCTCACTCTGTAGATAAAGAAAAAGGCCCAAAGAGTATAAGTGGCATACTTAAATATTTCCTCATTCCCTGAGAACATTTTTAATAGGGACTGTATAGAAATAAGGCATGTACCACTTATTATACCATATAGAAGAAGGTTTGGTGAAAAACTAACTCCTGCTTTAATTAATAACCTTTTATATCAACATTCTATATGTAGTTCCATTTTGACGGATATACAACACAACATATTGAAAATTAATAACAAGTCATTTTGTGACCTATTTTCTTTTTGTAGCACATTTTGATCATAAATATGAACCAAAACAAGAAAGATGGGAAAAAGAAACTCATCCTTGACGCTCCATTTTTAAACAGACTTCTTTTCAACTCTGTAAAACACAGAAATGGAAATGAGGAAACAGACTTTAACATTTTTTTTAAGTGACCTTTTTGACTGAATGCAAACTTTCTGACTAATAGTATTGAATGAAAATAAAGAAAACTGATAGGGAAATTCTGCAAAAGCAAAATAAAACTGTCCAGTTGAAACATAGAGACATTCTTAGCCCTATATGTGACATTCCAAAAGCTAATGAACTCCTTTGAGATTTTAGAAAAAAATTCATCACTATCCACAATCTTTCTGGTGGTGTGGCACTACAGGATAAGCTCTGAACTGTGAACCACAAAATCAGCAGTTCAGACTTATCAGCTGCTCCTCGGAAACCCTGTACATGGTCCCTATGAGTTAGAGTTGACTCAACAGCACTTAACAAGCAACAACAAAATAAGAGGGCAAGCTTATTTCTAGAAGGTGTTTAACTTTGCTTTCCAACTCTTATGAAATGGAACTTAGGATCAATGTGCCGTTCCTCTACCACCAGGGAAGAGAACCTTCTATGGAGAAACTCAATGAGACTATGAAAGATTTTAGGGAAAGTATGAGGACGTTTTCGCCACCCCACTGCCATAGGCCACATATTCCTTCTCCCTCAGAACCCTGGCCACAATCTCTAACATAAAATCTCACTCAGATTTTCAAGGAGAGCTTCTCCCTTGTTGAGCCAGCCCTAAACTCACATTTATGAACATCCCTGGGAAGCTTCTAGCCCACAAAGAAAATACTTCTGGGAACTGAATTGTTGAAAACATACTTCCCCCTAGAGGCTGAAAAGATGAAAGAATATTACACATAATTCAAGAACATTTCTATAAATCAGTGAGTGTTGAGATGTTCTTTTTAATGTATAGTTGATGTTTTGGTGGGACCCATTGGAGGCAAGAGGGGAAAGTCAATGGACGCCAAAAACTGAAATTAAAACTTTGCCTCCAGGTTTTAGCTTTCCTTAGCAAAGGGTTATTTGGCCCCTTTTCTGCTATTATACAAATCTATGAATGTTTGCCAGCACC